CTGACCCCAACACCTATTTAAGCCACTAGCACAACCCGTCTTATACCCACCCCCTCTCTTCCTAAGGCAGTCGCCATTCAATATCATCGAGAGGTACTTTAGAAACGGCTAACAAGATAGGGGCTAGTTCAGGCAGGAAAGTCAAACATGGGTACACTGGTGATACTAATGCCCGACAATACACTCTACTGCTAGTCGTATAAAATATCAGGCTTAAGGTCAGAAATTAGGGTTACGGCTGTTAGGACTTGGGTTATGGTTTGTGTTGATATTAGCCAGTTATATTAATATCGCGGTTACTGCCGGTAACCCCACTCTCCCTCCATTTTTAAGAAGAATCCATTATTGTGGCATTATCGGACGCTGGTATAACATATACCCCAAAACTGATCAAATGGGGGCTGGTATGTAGAGTAATAATGATTTTTTTTTAATAGAGGGACTTTGGCAGTTCTTCCAACACACATTAAAACACACAAAAGAAAATAAATGTAAGAATTTAAAGGAAAATTAAATAAACGAATGCCCCAGACAGCAAACCGGTTACGTAACGATGTAAGGATAACTGTGATTCAAACAGCCGATCACTCACACAATCAATAACCACCGGGGTTCGAACGACATAAAAACAGCAGGTATCGAGGTGAGCACTCAACTGCACGTGTAGCGATGATTAATTTCGGTGTGTGATCCAGCAGAACTCATACTGTGAGTCAGGCACTAGTCCACACTAATCAATAGCTAAAAATAGTTCAGGACCGATAACTCCCCTAATAACATGTAAAGAGACGCGTATCTTTCCATGCCAAGATAACGATTTTTAGCTTTACACGTGAATGTGTCATAGACGTATGAACCTTGGCTACGGCAGACATGCATATCAGTAACACTATTTACACGAGATACCGTATGCCACACATAACACAATACTCTAAAGGCTGATTATGTGACCATATAAAATAATTTTTCAGTAGGTAAATATCTATACTAAAAAGAGACAAGCTTCAACATAAACTGAACTTTAAAAACGAATTTTAAAAAATGGTTGGGCATCTGAATGACGCAAATAACCGCAGCAGACTGCAGTTTGTTATGTCAACGAATGTGTGTCCTTATGAAACCCATTTAAATTCAATTGAACAACAAATGGCACGACGCATTATACACGCTAACCGACCCGAGTGGTATCGCGTCAACAGTAGTTTAGTACCGTAATGGAAGGGTTTTTGACAAGACGGCTGAACTGAAATGTTTACCGCGCAGGCTGTGTTACATATTTAACCCCGTTTCAACCTATTTAGCGGCCTGAACTGCACGGGATACATATTTAACAGGGTAAGTGTGATCTACGAGAATTAAAATTATAAGGAGGTCGTTCGCAAATGATGTCAAGCAACGAATTTGACCATACTATCGCAACATAAAACCCCCACCCCTTCAAAGAACCATTTTTTGGACGCAATTCAACTTATTTTTATTTCCTAGAAATAAAAAAAAGACGCTACTTCACGTTTTCTTAATATCCCCCCCCCCTTAACTAGCTGCAAATCGTCACACAATTGTGTATTCCAGTCCTAGATGTGTGATGTGAATTCCCCCTTCCCCTCGTCACACAACTGTGTACTCCATTCCCAGATGTGTGATGTTAATTCCCCCCTCCCCCCGTCACACAATTGTGTACTTCATTTCTAGATGTGTGATGCTAATTCCCCCTTCCCCTCGTCACAGAAGTCCGAACCACCACGCACCCTCCCCACCCTAAGGGCGTCACGGCTTTTATGGAAGAACCCTAATTGAAAATGTGCTCCATTTTTTAACGCCAAGTATCCTGTTAAATTCTACCCTGCAGTACACCCTAGCCTAGAGGTAGGTGAACATCATAAAGGTCAACATAATTGTGTAGAAATAAAATTGTGGCTAGACAAAACTGACCAAAGACAGCACGATATTATGTCACGGTATTGAGCTTTGTAGGACCGAGAGCTTCATAAAGGTAAGCATAAACGTGTAGGAATAAAATTGTGGCTGGACAAAATCGACCAAAGACAACACGATATTATGCCACGGCATTGAGATTTGTAGGACCGAGAACATCATAAAAGCCAACCAAAGAAGGTTAAAATAAAATTGTTGCTGTACAAAATTGCCCAAACTTAACACGATATTAGAGTACCACGGCCTTGACAACGTCCCCGTAGTCACTCAGTTTACCAAGGGAGATTACAGCCATTATGGACCAACAGTGATGTGTTTTTATTCAGCTCAGATTACAGATGGACTGGCAACTTGGGGAGATATTGTATGACAGTGTCTGAAAGACGTCGTTCTAAATTACACGGACTAGATACAAGTCAGCTCCTAATAAACAACACAGCCGAGGACGTTTTGATTTAGATTGTCATTAAACAGTCTGATGTTAATTACGTCCACGATTTTAGCCTTAAGCAGAAGAATAAATACATATATTAATCGCTCAATACTTAAGGTTTTTATGTCAACTTAAAACAAAGCTACTGCGTGATTCTCGATTTAGGCCATCTATAACTAGAAATACTCTTCAATTGTTTTTTTTTTAAACTTTTCACAATAGGAAAGTTAAACCATTAAATTTCCAGACAGACAAAAAAGTTATATTGGCATATGCTCATCTAAGGATGGTGTGATGCTTTTAAAGAGGGATGAGAAGATTAACATTTATTTCTGCATATCCCAAGTTTCCTTAGAGAAAAAAAAATAATCAATAGTCTGTTTACTTCAGCCAGAGGCTGGCAGCCCCTTACAGACGTACACCCCCCCCCCCCCACATCGATAGGTTCCTAACAGGTTTTTCCTCTAAGAAGTATTTCTTCTCGAATGTCGTTGTTGCGCGTCTAGTGAGTGACACAAACGGCAGCGGCGTAATGACATGTCATGCGCTTCTGCTGAGGTAGGGTGCGAACTTTAAGCCGGGCTAGTGCTATTTATAGACATGACATAAAGGGCTTCCCTGAGCCGAGTTAATACAAGCAAGTGGGCAGGGTACATAAGGCAACCTTCAGCGACTCATTTAACACAACTCGTTTGTACATAAACACTATTTAGAAACAGCATTGTTTATACAATATAAGCTATCAAGCTTGTGAAATCTACCATATCCCATCAAATGTTAAAATAAATAGTCTAGGTCTATATCATTTTGGAAGAGCCACTGTTTGATAGAAAACTACCGACTCCATCATAAAATAAGCACATTTCAAATAATTGACTTCTAATCATATAATATGCCAGTGATGCAGAGGCACAGCTACCCATTTCTGCGCCAGGGCGAAGAGACAATTTTTTTCTCTCCCCCTCCCCCTCCCCCCAATCACGTTGACGAAAAAAATAATGTATTTTGATGTTACACAATTGATGTAGAAAAAAAAAGTCCATAAAGTCTTAGCTATGACTGTAATTAACAGTAAATCAGCTCAGAATGTGCTTTTTTATTTCTACTTGAATAAGCACCCAGGGCTGCCGCCCCACACACCCTCCCCTAGCAGAGCTGTGCCATTAGATTAATTGCCTTTTATAAACGTTTCTACAATACAGATATTTTGAAATACAAATACAGCTAAACTGAAATGCATTAACTGCATTTTATTTTAATGTTCCATCTCCAACCACTATTTTTAAAACCTTTATTTCTGTTCCTTCAATACCATTTAAGAGGTAGCTTTTTTTAATATGAATGCTGCATTCTACAATTTACTTTTAATAATTATAAAGTAGTAGCTAACAAAGCATCAATAACTACAGACAAAGAAAACACTTAGCAGAGATCCCCCCCTCACAAGGGAATCAAAGGTTAACTTATGTTTACACAGACATATACAAAATTTAATGGGATTTTTGAGGATATTTTTAGGTCCAAGATCTGTGCATGTATGAAATAAAATGTAGATAAAATCTCGAATATAAAAGTAGCAAGATTTGTCAAATAGCTGGGTTAAGTATGTTTGTTCATTGCAACATCGCCTTTGAAGAGTCATTAAATATATAGAATTTTCTTTCTGCAAAATACTAATTTTTTAAAACTATATATAAATATATATCTATAGATCCTATTGCTATGTGAAACAATAGATGCGCCCAAAAAGAAGTAAGAAGTTCCTCTCCTGGGCACATACTTGGGCGCCAAATAAATAGAACATTGGTTGCAGTTACAAAAGTAACACTTTTTTTTTTTTTACAATTGTCAAGTTGATGGAGTGTAGAACAAACTGGAACTATGTAAAAAAACAACTTATTTTTTTTTAAATTCAAATTATCACAAAGTGCTAGCAGACATGTATTATCTGATAAAGATATTGGCTCTTTTTAACATGCATCTTTCAAGAGTAGCTTATATTCCATTACCCACACAGAGATGGTTGAGATATGTTGGAGACTGTGGTGGCCTTTAAGACATTCCATTACATCAGCCTTTTCCTCCCAAAAAAATACATTTGGGTCTGTGGAGACCCTAAGTTCATTACACATCTAAAAGATTCTAGAGATATATTGTACACTGCTATGGCCTTAACAACACAATGAAAGAAGCACCAAATCATTTTTGACATCTTAAAAAGACAAAAGGAGTTGCTCAATAAATCTAATGCTTTAAATTTTCCTATTTGACTATGTAAATTTTAAAAAAGATACCTGGAAACTCTGAATTACAAGACTTTTATTAAAAACTTCCTCCATTATTCAATCAAGAAAATATGGGTTTAAACTAATATACACAATTTTTTAAAGCAATTATTTAATATTTCATACTTTTCTGACTAGCCCAAAACAGAAAATAATAGGATTATGGTTAAAATATGACATCATCTTTAGCCAAACAACTACTTATTACAGTAAAGTACCTACTTGTCATAAGAAAAGAAAGAAAAAGATGTATTAAAAGTTCAGTAAAAATGTAAGCATATTACAATTATAAACAATGACATCAATCAGTGTGGAAACAGGACATACGAACACTATATAATACTTACATTGTTTCCTCCTCAAGGAAATCCATGTTTCCTGTCATCTATCTAGACAAGTCAAGCAACAGTGTAACCCTGTTAGTGTAGCTACTGTTGTATATGTGTTCAGATAGTCCCATTAGTCATATCTTCTTTGTTATCCAATTGACAGTGTCAACCCAGCCAATTTGTTCTCATGTTAGTCACATTGTACTTCACATCATCAGGATACTAATCTAAATTTAGACACAAACATTTTGGATCAAAATTTATAAAATTGAGCAGCTAAGTTAGAAATGTTAACAGTTCTACATCATTAAAAATAAAGATTCACTTATAGACAAAACAACAATCACAAGACCTGAGTAAAAATGTGCATGTTGGCGTGTACCAAAATTGCAATAAAGTAGTAACTTGTTTTCGTAGTTATATTCTATACAACCCCAACAGTTCAAAAGTTTAAGATCTTTAGTGAAAATAGATATTTGCCTGAAGCCCTATAAAAATGTGCTGTATTCTTGTGTTGCATAGAATAAAAAAAATTAGTTTGAATGGAGGGCACAGTAGAAATCCAGCAAACCAGATCATCCTACATTTTAAATATAGCAGTACTGTCAAGCCAGTTAAATGTTATTACCATGCTCATGGCTGATGTTAACTATGCTCATTCATTGGAACACTCACCAGCAAAGAGGTGGATTCACTTTGAAACTCACATATTTAAAAATAACAAGATAAGCTGTTTCCTGATGTTTACTTTACTGTGATAAAACAACATAAATAGTAATTTATAAAAAAGAATTTTGTGCCAGGATAATTCACAACTAGCCTACCCTATGTGCTACAGATGTAAAGGTGCCAAGGTACAAAGAACTAGTATGAGTCAAATGGACAAAAAATAACAAAGGATAGAAAAAGCATAGAAGAATGTTATCAATTGTATATGCTCTATTGTGAGTGAGACTGATGAGGGAGAAGAAGACAATTTGAAAATATCCATACTAAGTCTAGAATAATATTAATAAACAAAAACAATAACACATTCATTACATTTTTAAAAAGTTAATAAAGTTTGCTGCTTAATTTTTTATTTAACAATAAGCTTCACCAATCCTTAAACTATGTTAATTGACTAGAGTCAAGTTAAAGCTTAAGTGTCATTTTCTTAAGAACAAATTATGTATTGTTTCTACTGAAGGGTCTTGTCAATTGGTACTATTTATTATAAAAATAGTTTTTGAAATCTAGTTTGTAAACTGTAACCAAGTAGAATGACAAAATAAGCCTCCTAATTAGGACTAATCATTCTAGGCTGAAAATTGTCTAACCCACTCATAAGCTGACTACATTCATTGAAAACTGCACTGAGATATTTTCTTTAGTTTTATCCTATATCTTCAAAAACTGGCAAGTTATCCTAAATTTTTAGTGTTATGATGAATCACAGCACCTACGTCTTACTCTTACCTACAATTACCACAAAAAATACTTTAAAAAGTTTTGTTATCTGGAATCTATGCCAATGACTATTTTTATGCTATGTAAATGCAGACTATTATTCAATTAAAATTTAGAACAAATTTAGCCTCTCCTCCCAATTTATTTCACCAAAAAGTACTATGTGTGTTTTAGCTTAAAAATTAGTAAAGTATATGCCTAAACACAAATAATGACAATTTAAGTTATTTAAGTTAAGTTTATCAAGTTGAATATAGTATTACATTGTGAGAATTACAAGATAGTTTCTTGATACAACAGAGAAGCAATGGTATTCTTGTGATTGTTAGATGAGGAAATATTGTAGGTTTAAACATATGAAAGTAAAAATGTATACCTAAAAAGGCGTCCATAGTCCATAAACAACAACATATTCCAAAGGGGGAGGGGGGGGAGAGAATTTAGTGAAAATATGTGACAAGGGGTGTAGGGGCTCAGAAAGTGTGACAAACACACTTTAGAATTGTAATGGATATTTTAAAAAACAAATTTTGAGGAAAATGCAGGGTGAGGTGTGGAGGTGTGACATCGTTTTATGCAAAAAAGGGGGGGGGGGGGTCCTAGAGGTAAAAGTCCTTATTAAAAAAAATGCCTTTATTTTATTTATGGATTACCCCTAAGTCACAACTAAACTCCAATAGTTTACAGTTAAATGTGGTTTCTAGTAGGTAGGTGTAACAAAATGCCACAAAAATTGAATTTTCTTACAAAAATGGTGATAAGTGATAGTTTAACTTAAACTAGCTATTGTCAGCACACAGGGCTATTCACAGTCGTGACTGTTTTTGTTACATTTAATGTTAAAAACACCCTACAAAGCATGTAGTTGTGTGGTCGAGTGGACATTTGGGTGGCTGTTGCGCTGGATGGTGCAGATTTGAACCCATCAAATGCTTTCATCCCTTTAACACTTATTGACACTAACTGACTATTGGAGGCCCTCTATTATCAACTTTTTTTCCCCGATATTCATGAAAGGGTTACTATTAACTTTTGTTAATTTTTTTTTCATTTGTGATAGTGATATGAATGCTGGCGTATTTGCAAAAAAAAAAAAAAAAACATGTCCCTTAGATTTTTGATAACAGAAAATACAACTTGGGAAAATTGAGAAGGAAACTGTGAATAATAACTGATTAAATAGGACATGTTATTTCACTTATTATTCTATTTCATTTATTGTATGTGAATTTTAAAATGTTAATTGACAATTGAATAGCAATGTGAACTACAAACTAAACTGATGCATAATTAATATTATTTATATAAAAATTACTAGATCTATTAGTATAGATTTAGATTGAGTGCATAATTGATCATCTACGACCTACGTAGCAGGAGATATGAGTCTAAATTTTTATGGAAATTTAACACAATGAAAATAGCACTGCTCTCTTAATATATACCTCACTCCCCAGCCACAATAAATCCTTTTATTATTGTAAGATATTATTCCCAGTCATGTTTATAATGAAATGACAGTCAACTGGGAATAGCAGTATAGGGGCTATTCCCAGTCAGCTTAGAATAGCCCGAGTACAGCTATTCCCACCCGGGTGGGAATAGCCTTGGCCATAATATAATATAATGAATAACGGGACATTATGTAGCTTGAAAAGGTAAACTCAAGTTAACTGTTAACACTGCTTAGTGTTAGTTTTGCAAAAAGTGTTATGCAGTGTTGGTAGGCTAATAAGTAATAAGAAATGAAAGTTGGCCTTACTAAATTAACTTCTAAAAATGAAATAGGCCTAATCTTTATAAAATATTATTGAACTAGTCATTACTAGATCTAGCCTAGTACTAGATTCTAGATCTAGCAGAAAATAGATATTGACAATATTGTTTGATATTCAAATTGTTTATTAATTAGGCCCCTAATTGCCCTAATTAATAAAAAACTAGAGATTCTAGATCTACTGAGTTCAGTAGAGACAGAGACTCCCTAGACTAGAATAGATCTAGAAATCTATCTAATCTGCAATGCAACACTTAGGACTTAGATCTAGATAATTGGTAATCTATCGTTTTGGGTACGTAAAATCGCCCGCGATTTGTAATGTGAAAAACAGGTGACTCCTTAAATTTTAATAATTATTTCACATTTTGAGGAGGATTTATGTTTTAAAAAATTCAAAAATGTTTCCTTAATTCATTTATGTACCTGTTTTTAAACAATTGAATAAAAACTTTTCCGTAATAAATGAAGACTAGCGATGTTTCCAACAGATGCAATCATGCTCATTTACTATAGCAGCCATCTTGTCTAAGTTTTATTTTTATAAGCTTTTAGCGCCAGATTCAGGGGGAAGTCACTCTATTTTACAAATGGCTGCTGTTTATATAGCAAATCTTGCTCTCAGACACTGCTGTTTAAAGTTAATTTCTGGCCTATTTCGATATATTTACTATAATTTAGCCATTGATTTATGTTTATTATTCATTTATCTATAATATTTGACACAAAAGTATGACAATATACTTCTATTAAAGCCTTGACAATGAGGTAACGTTTTCGTACATAAATAGCCGCGGGCGATTTTACGTACCCAAAACGATAGATTACCAGATAATTCTATACTTAGATACTTGACTACTGTAAGTCTGTAACAGTAGGCCTACTCATCAGTAGCCTACTCACTGTAACTCAGCTGTAATTTGAATTTCCAAATTTGTAATTCACAACTCTAACAAAAGCCCTACACTCACTCTAAGTACTATCTATACTATTAGATCTAGTATTTAATTACTATTAGTTACTACTACTCTAGTTACAGTTAATATCTAGATTCATCTAGATCTAGATCTAGATCTAGTACTACTAACTAAACACAACACTTTACTACACTACACACTTCTGACACTGTGTCACTGTGACTGAAACCACACACTGAAGTTTAGTTTTGTTTTCTTTAACTTCAAGTTCAACTCGAACTTCAAACACATTAAAAAATCCAAAGCTAGACCTGGAAGCCTAATGAGGTCAGCAACAATCCCAAATCAACGATGCGCATCATGGGGTTTACCTCAAATGCATTCTTGTAACATTTGCTGGTTTAGAAACAGAGTGTGACTCATTCATAAAGAAATAAAGGGGAAGGCATTATGCTAATAATAAACATTGCGATAGCTCCGTCAGATCTTCTGCTAGAGATTTTCGACACTTCCGCTCACAAAAGCGCTACCGGTACAACAGTTTAATTAACAGAACAGTTCTATATACCTACCTAAACAAACCACTAGTTCGTCAATTCAGAACTTAGTCACATCACTCGTTTCAGCTACTTCTAGTCTTCTTTCTGTCGAGTGGTTTTTTTCCCTTTAAATTTAAATATATACAATATGGGCATTAGGTAATTTTTGGAGGCCGTATTTTAAATAAACACATGAGGATAAGGGATTAGGTTCAAAATAGAAAATTTAAAGTACGCCTCTATTCAGCGGAAAACTCAGCTGTTGCTAATAATGTTTTTAAAGTATGTAAAGAGCGTTTCCTTATCGAGTTGGACTAACTTATTTTAATTTTATTTTTTACATATAGGGCTAGATCTAGGTGTAGCCAGTTTTTCGTAAGCAGTTAGGCCTATGCCCCCTTGACCCCCCCCCCCCCCCACACACACACATATCTGATTTTTTCTTGAGTTAACATACATCATGGAATTTTAATTATTTCAATCAGTGTTGGTATAAAGTATGACTAAATGAGGCTAATATTTTGTTTGTATTAAAAACCAGATCTATGTATTTACGTTTTCTAAAGTTTTACCCATAGGGCCTATTACATTTTTTACCTAAACCATAGGTCATAGTCTACCTTATCGTATCATGGTAAATAAAGCATTAAATCAAAATGTCTTAATTCTTAATAACCAACTTTTGCTTCTAGCCTACAAAGTTCTCATGTTTTTTTATGCTCATTCGTGATATTTTTTCTCAGGTCTTTTATAATAAAACACCTAGTTCAAGACAGAGCACTCTGCTTAAATTTAAGAAAAACAATGAGTTATAGATTCTACTGTACACAAAAAATATCTAGGTCTCAGTACCTAAGAAGTTACCTGAACTTTGTCCTTAACCTATATCTACTCTAGATAAAGTAAGATAAATCAGTTTAGTCCTTAACTAGTTACCAACGGACTACTATCATTTTAATATTTTATAGAGTATGATAATTTATTTTAAATTTATAATCAATTTAAAATTAAGTTAGTTAGCCCCCCCCCCCCCCCTCCCCTGCCTAATGGCACTAGGTAGGTAGGTAGTAGGTAGGCCTAAGTTTAAGAACTTAAGAAGCTAGTAGCGGATGATATTTCGAGTCGACCCTTTGAATCCCGGTCAGAACGTCCCCCCTTCGTGGCCTCAACTATTTACAAATTTACAGCTAATTTTTAAGTAGTATTTACACTACAGTTTAGTAAATTTAAAAAAAATAAGCACTGGCAAGTCTGGCAAGGTAACTCATTCTTACCACTTCTTACTAAAATTAAAATACTAAAATATTTTCAGTCCACCCTTACTACTAAGTTACTACAGAGTACAGAATATGGATGATCGAGGATACAGATGTTTGATAATAAATTAAATAGGCTTTTCTAAACAATTTAAAATACTAAATAATATAGGTGTGTTAGGTTGTTAGATGTGTTGTAATCTCTTCTAGTTGATGATCGTTGGTTAGGGGGGGGGGGGGAACTATCTGTCCGGGATTCAAAGGGTCGATTCTAAATATCATCCGGGTTAGCATTGACATTAGCAAGTCATTCTTAAAGAAAATTCTATTATTGTGCCATAATTGGACACTGGTTAAAGAAATTCACCATTTATGTTAAAATTTTAAATTGAAATTCAACTCTTAAACTGCACTGAAATAAACCATATAGGCCTAGATCTAAATATAAAGTAATAAAATGAGTTAGCAGCATTATAAATAATGTAAGGGCAATTATAGGCCTATTCACAATTATTAAGTGTAAAGTAATTTAAGTGTCTTTTTCTTGTTTTTTTCAATAGCTGACTAAAATATTACCATGGCAACTCAGGTTCTTGAATATCGGCTTGAAGTTGATGAGAGCAACTTTAAAGCAGAATGTTATTTTCCTGGAATGACATATGATGACTTTGACAGAGCAGGTGAAATCATTGAGCTTGTACAATTAAATATTCATCAATGCATATTCATTTATGTGATTTAGGTCTATATTGTTAAATAGTTTGAAATTAATTTAAAACTTCTAGTTCTGTTATTATAATATATTTTATTTTAGGGGGTGTGAGCCCATGGAAAATTTGCCGAATGTTTGAAGCAGGAAGAATTGTGCCATTTATTCAAGGCAACTTTTTAGACTTTAACAAGCTCCGTTCCAGCAGCTTTGGTTTTTCTTTAATCGGAGGCGATTACTATTTTGATTCATGTTTATGGGAGGTTGCAAGGAGGTTTCATTATTTCCCATATAAAGTAAGTTTTTCTGTGTTACATTGTTTCTGTTTATCATATTCTAGTTTATCAATGTTGGCTAAATAGTAATATATAATATAGAGTAGACTCAAGTGTAAAACACTTAGAAACCTGAAAGACCAAACTTCTAAAATCAAAGCTTGAAATTGTTGGTTTCCTGTTTCAAATTTAAGTTTATTGTATGTTAATTTCTTTTTGGTTTACTTCATTGTTTGAATGTTATAAATATTTCCTAAAGTTTCAGTAAAGACAATTACTCATACTTCTGTTGTGCATCTATGCTGTAAGAAAGAGAATCTTGTTCTCTAGTTTACTTTTAATAAAACTTTTTATAATGAAATTATTTCTAATTTTTCATCTCTTGTTTCAGATAACGCTAGAACTCATTAATGTTGGCCAATCTTCCATAACCATCCGTGAAGTCCTGGTCAATCTTCTAGACAACAAGGAGATAGCAACATTTTATGGAAAAATTGTGTATGTTGATAAAATGACAAAACGCTCTCAAGTTTTGCCGCATTGGCATAGATTGAAATACCAGAAAGCTGAGTCTGATGATAAAGTGCGGTTTGATTCATCCTTGAAAAGTGCACCTGATAATGCATATAGGGTACGGCTTAAATAAATATTAAGGTTACTATGAAATAAAAAATACCAAGCGTGTAAGGGTATATAAAGTAGTTTAATTTGTAAACATTTTGTATTTTACTAAATATCAAACCATATTCAAAGACTTGCCATATATATATTTGTTTTCTTTAGGTTAAGCGCTCAATAGCTGCAAGTGACACTGATTTTAATGGACACACAAACCAGGCTAGTTATGTCAGGTACATTTATTAATTTATTCATGTATAATTGTATAATACACTACATTCAGAGACCTGGTTGAACTAATGTAACATGATGGAATGGCATTGTTTGATTTATCTGGATGGTTAAACATAGTAAGGACTCTTTAAGACTTGGTCCAAATGAACAGATGATTTGTGTTAATGACTGCAGCACGTAAACATATTGTGTGGTAGACTTCATGTCGAACCATTTAAACTTTACCAGACTTAGGTACCTCTTGTAGCTGAGTGAAAATTGGAATGTACACTTTACCCAAGCCTGTAGTTGTAATTTTGACTTAACGATAGCACACTCTACCACCCCATTAGATTATTCTACACTAAAGTAAATGTAAATTATTTTTATTCAACATGTCTTTAGCGTTTTGTATGACTGAATTGTGTACGATGAACTGTCTATTCCTAAAATAAATCAATCAGAGATGCTAATTCAAAAATGCCATTAGCATTAAAAAGAATTTTTTTATTGTTGGTAAACTATGAATTATGCTGTTTTTGTGTGTCAAACTTTAACGAATTCTGTTGATAGGTTAACATAACTATTCAGGACATCCATTAAAACATTGGGATTTTTTATATGTACATGCCATTTTATGTGCTTATATACGTTGGTAAAAAGATTCAACAGATGCATTTCTAATTTTTTTCTATTTTTCTATCATTTTAGATTTGCTTTGGATGCCGCAGAGTGTGCCAGAAAAGCTCAGTGCCTAAGCCAATTCAAAAGTGACATTTGTCAGTATCCCGTTCTGAAAATGTGCACCTCATACCGTGGTGAAACTCTACTAAATGATGAAATTACCACCTCTGTGTGGCAAGATAATAATACTCCTGCAGTGCTCAACTTCACTATTCATAAAGATAATACTTTATGCTTCACTGCATCCGTCACATTTAAGCCAGCCCCATGTTCAAAGCTCTGAAGATAAATATTTAGCTATGTTCATTTAAATTGGTTTTTAAGTCTGTTAGAGAAAGCTTTAAAACAAGCTAACAAACATACTTTGTAGAGAATTGTATTTTAAGAAAAGTACTACTCCGATATTGTTACAGCATTTTTAGGCCTAGACTTGACTTATTTCTATTTGAAATAACAGGTTGATCTTTAGGCTGTCATATAGTCAGTTTATTTTACTTTTAACCCAGATTTTTAACATCTCTTTTTCATCATAGTGTTGTTTAAAAGTTATTCAGGAGGCTGATTTCTTTTAAGTTTATTATCCTTAGACATAAATAAAACAAAATAATTATTTATTTATTAATTATTCATTTATAGTGATATTTTTTTTCCTTCGCTACTTAATTTTTCCTTCATTTCCCAGTTTTCTTCACTTAAGAAAATTGAAATCTCTAATAGAAATTGTAATGTATTAGTATTAAATGAAGCATTTCTCTTTCACAATCAGGATTATATATGACATGTTGTAATCAAAAGAGATTTTTGTACACTGGTCATCATATTTGTTGTCCTGTTCAACTTTATTTATTACAGGAAAATCATGGTTTAAAATGATTTCCTATTATGACGCAGAAGTGTTTAAACTTTGTGCCGATGATTTTCACTGTTGAATTTTTTTTACAAGAATTTTAAATAAAAGATTTTGTCACAAGAGGAGCACAATTTTTTTGTTATATTTTTTTAAAACATTTTCTTATTTGATATGAGCATCTGGTTGTTTTAACTAAGTTGTAAGAAGTTTAAGCATTTGCTCCAGAATGTTGTGGCTCTACAAAAATTCATTTGAATGTTGTTGTAGCTACCTGTTTGTGCAGTTAAATTTTATGTTAATTTCTATTGAATCTATTGGATGCAATAAAACAATAGGCGACACTTTCCTAATTTTACTAAGTTAGAAGCATAGATGGGCCAAACTAGTAGATTTTTCTACTTGATTTGTTTCTTGACCATGGCATATAATGTGTTTGAAACTGCCTTTACTTTTCCTATTGGGACCTGGGTGGAATCATTAAGGATAGAAAAAAATATTTAAAAACTCATTTAGAGCTGCGTTACTGAATTATCGGCTTATACATTCAAAGTTTTGAGATTAAGACTACTACAAGCCTGTCCATACTAAAATTTCTGTTTTCTTTATCCATTGTGTAGCTGCAGAAAGAATACTCTCTAGAGTCTGACAGCAAAAGAGCTAAACTTTTTCTAACAGGGTGGGAGGGGGAGGGGAATACTTTTTTGGCAATCAGAAGGATTTCTGACCCGCTGGTGTGTGGAGAAATCTTTCAACACTAAAAACAGAAATAGATTTTACAAATGTATCAACTCATAATATATGTTTTATCAATCCAAGTTGGTAAAAAATAGGATGGGTTTAATATAGTTATAAATATAGGGGTTTGTGTCCAAGAGGATGCATATATATACATTACTATCACTGTTTTCATTGTAACAGCTTATTCCTCATATGAATCCACAACAAATGATAGTATCACACATTACAATCAGAGATGAGCAATTGATTGATTCTTTCATGACAACCACCCATTAATTAAGGTGGGGGCTGATAGAGCAGATGAATGGGCCCTTCTGGCAGGAGTCCTATTGAATAAGGCCGCTTCACCGTGATATTTATTGTCTGTAAGGGAACTGTATTAACTGTGGCCCTTATGTCAGGTGCCAAAATGATGGGAGCCAATTTGTCGGAAGTAGTAATAACAAGAGCCTATTTATCAGGAGCCAGTGTGACGGGGCTCTTATCGGGGCTGTTGTGACAGAATTGTTTAGTCACTTTCGCTGACTATTAACTTATCATAAAGCCGCTGATGAATTTATTGACGCATGCAAGCTTTCATCGTTAGAAAGGGATGATAATTCTGATTGGCTTGAATTAAAAGTGTTCCGGGAGTCGGGCCATTGTTTCTGGACTCCGACTCATGTATGCAGGCCTATAGCCTGGGTGTGACAACTTAATAAACATTCAAGTATTTTAAGTAATTTACGGCTGAATGTTTACTGTTCTATAAATAACACGAACAATAAGACTTGATTGGTTCAATCTAGCAACATGTGTTTGGTTTTGATTTTTTTTCATTCTACCTAACTTTAGACTAAAATTCAATTCTATTTCATGTGTTATTTAAAAGTGTAGGAGCATATTTGACGGAGTCATTTTGTCGCTGGCCCTTTTAACAGGGAGATCTAAATATTAATATGGCGGGGCTATTTTGTTGGGGCCGGTTTGGGGGGTCGTCCATAAATGACGTCACACTCGTAGGGGGGAGGGGGGTCCGTAATTTTGTGACGGTGTGTGATGAGGGGTGTGGGGGTTAGATGGTGTGACGTCACTTTTTTTCATTAAAAAAAACTCAGATAGAAAACGGGTTTTAGCCGTTATTTCGCGTTTTAGAACACGGTTTTAATGAACTGTAATAGGAATTGATTAAAATACTCTGTGTTGGCAGAGTTCTGACAAGATTTTAGAAATACATTGGTGTTTTAAGAAAAATTCAACAGCAATTTTGAGGGGGGGGG